TTTGTAGTTACGGCCTTACGATAATGATTTCGATTATTTGGATTGTTTATCGACCGTGTCCCGTTACTAATTTGTTTGGAATGTCAATCGTGGCTTATTTCTCCATGCTGAGTTTAGGATGCGTCAGTGTCGACGTCTGTCATTCAAGCCGAGACCTTGAAATGAAACAAAAATAACAATTCGAAGAGCATTGGGTAATATATTAATAACCATTCTCACCAATCGCTAGCTTTAGGGGAGAGTAGGAAATCAAACAGCCACAGGTCGCCCGCCTTTTATGCATAGATTTCATGACGCTGTCTGACCGCGGTCGTGTACGGTTAGGCTCGCACATCAATTCACACTTATTGTCAAGACCATGAATGAACAAAGTTCAATAACAGAAATTTAAATTTGGCTGCACCAAAAGCTTGGAAACTAGTGTATAATAAATAGTTGACAGAAGACTGAGTGATCTACGACATCATTTTGGGGCGCAATTAAACTTCAAGCACTTCATTGCGAAACTTTACTGCGCGGCGATGCTGACATCAAGTGCGTGTTGACCGAAGTTTGACCTCCTAGTCACGCACTGAACAGGCGCGTTACCTTAGCGAACTTTTTCTTTCATGCTCCACGCGTCGATCTTGTAAAATTGTTATTCGTCCTGGCGGTGCTGTAATTACGCAAACTTGTATATTTTACGATCGTTTACTTAGTGCGCTGCTTTTCTAATTACGCAAATGTGTTTATAATATTGTACCGGCTCTAAAAATTTCAACATTTTGATATATCGCTTTCATAATAATTACGCAAACTCAGTTATTTAATATTGGACACAGAACGTTACAAAGTGGTATAGATTTGAAGAGTAGTTCGGAATTTAAAAATAGTTAGTACCCGTTGTATCCCCAAACTGTACCACTCCTGTGCCAGTGACCAGTGTTTGGGCGACCCGTCGGTGTTTTCAATGAGCCAGCGAGAGAAACGTAACGATAAAAATGCGGTCGTTTTCTGGTCGGAAATTACAGTGCGGTCGGAAATTAAACGATAACCGGTCGATTGAAAAGTGGGAAGTTGGGCGAAATGAGTACTGTAGTGACGTTAGTGTATTTCTAATTTAGTTTTAACTCGTACAATGTTTATTCACTCACTGTTCACTATAGCTAGAACGCTGTCCGTGTCTTCACTTTCAGGTTAGTTTTTATGCCGATTTTTGGAAACCAACAACGGGATTTCTATTTGGGATTTTGAGAAACCTAATACGAATCGATATGGTATTCATACGCACAACACCTCACAATGTTTCAACTTTTAAATTGTCAGTTAACAAGGGTTTTCATAGTAGCACTTCTATGAGATTGACGTACTAGAGTGAATAGGTTCAATTATCAGTGTTCACTGATGACATCATTGAACTGGCCCTCTATAGGCGAAATTACACCAGGCAAAGCGGACGTTTGTCGTCTGCTTCACAGCCCATTTTATACCCCATATTTAGGACATTTCGCAGCACATACAAGATGTTTTTATCGACAGAATTTATTCATAGATCTCAAATGTCATGTACAGAGTGTCAAAAGCCAGACCTCTGCTCCCCTTTAAGTGCTTTTTTACACTAATCTTTGGTAATGAGTGTAATATTCAAATGGTAGCTTTCTATTAAGTGCGGTGTATACAATATTCTTTTGTAATAGTATTTTTGTGGTACGCATAATATTCTTGTGTATGAAGTATAGTATTCACAGTACCTTTCTGTATGTAATGTAGTATTCACAATTGTATTATGTGCAGTGTTTGCGCATGTGTTTAGTGTTCCATATATTTTTTGTAATAAATATAGTATTCATCACACTCTTATGTATTGAGCGTGGTATTTACAATATTATATTTTATGAATATGGTTCAAAATGCATGTTCATTTCCTTATGGATTTATGTATAGATTGATATGTTATTTTTTGTATGTGTCCTACTTTCATTGTGTGTTTTTTATGACACACTGAACTAATTTTGGAATAAAAGCAAGATAGTTGATTTCATATGTATGAAATTATGTTTCTTTTTGGAATATAATACCAGAAAGATCAAGTCAACTCATTCCCATTACAGTTCATGATCAATGCCATTGACAGTGACTAGTTAATCTGGAAGTTTGACTTACAAGTTCAACTTCATTTTGAGCAGTATAAAAGCAAGATGTGTAATAGAAATATAGCCCCTCCACCGTGTAACACTATATTGTGATTTATTATATACTAACAATTTGGGTTGAATGGACTGTTTTTATGTATAACGTGTGAGTGATTTGTAATTTGTCATTTGGTCAAATTTACATATGAAAGCACGGAACGCAGCTTGCCAGCAGAACAAATATATATTACCCGGCACGGAAAGCAATTTAATCTTATTGTTTCATCGTCTGCAAATATAGAACATGCATTTTCAACACAGAAAGTCTATATAATCGTACAGAATTATGACGTTGTTTCCCGAGTGTTTAAAACCAGAATAATATAGACTTTGTCTCAAAGTAATCAGCAGCATGGAAATTAGAAGCTAGAATCAATACAAAGTCCATCACCACATATTCAGTTAGTTGGAAGATTATGTTGTAGTCACACGCCATCGTGTTTCATCGGAGCGTATTTGCCCAGTGAAAAAATAGATTCAAATGTATCACGAACATACAATATACATATATGACCGATGTGGTCGTGGGTTTTGGAAGGTTGGCGTTAGAGAATGGGATACAATTCATGGGACACGAAATCATGTAACTTCCTCTCACTGAGATCTCGGCCATGAATTCCTTTGATAACCAGTCGCTGTATATTAATGTGTGTACCTTGAAACACATTTTCGTGTGCGGGAGATTTACCTTATGTACATGTGGATTTTAAACTTCGCCCTGCCATCACCATGCACTTTTACATTGACTTGACCTGATAAAGGTTGAGGCACAGGCGGTTTCTACCCAATACCTGACATTACCAGAAATATTCAAATTAATACGAATCCTAATAAATCACTAACGTAATTCGACATTGACTTGTATGATGTCGATAATTCAATCGGATTAGTGGAGTTACTACATAGTATCAATGGTGCCGACAGTTCAACCAGCTTGCTAGTCACAATCTGATTATTAGAGTTATTATATCAGTATAGAGAGTTATTAGTATAGAGTTAGTATAGATATATCGAACAAAAATTGCTTAGTTTGCTTATTATTACCTACGTATATATCTGTATATTTATGTAATAATTGTCATTAAAATGAGAAAAATCCATTTTAAAACTGTTTTGGAGGAGGAAGAAAAGGTTAATGAGGTTTAGATCAATTATTCATTTTAGCATTATTAATTCGATAGATTAATTGTGTGCTTATGTATTAGAAGATCATTGTAATTCATGTCGTCTGACCAAATATTAATATAGAAATGACATATTGATCAAATATAAACACATAGAATGATAAAACATAATTACAGATTGACAAGAAAAATAAAAAGTTATTATAAATAATTGTATCAGTAGCAAAATGTTTATTTTTTATGTTATGTTCTCATATAATATGAATATAACGGGTTCGAAATCGAGCCATCTGGCGCCAGACACATCAGTTAATTACCTAGGGATACCATCGACTGATATTACGTACAAGCTGACTGCAATATGCAGCAGCTATTGGCTTGACAAAAATACTACAACATCTACATAGTCGTTACGCGCAGATTCGGAAATCCTACTGGATATTTCACGATTTATTCATGAAACGTCAAAATTGTTTCGAATCATTGGTAGTTAAATTACCGGCGTTTGTCGAACTGACGGGTATGAGGCTTAGCAATGCAATGCTGCGCCATAAATCATAGCGGAAATCATATGTCATAAATTTAAATTACGCCTGATTGATGAACTATTTTGTTGATTATATGTGTGTGTTATTAGAAGCATGATGTGTATATTTCTTCAGGCATACCATGAAAAGACCATAACTGTAATAACATAAACATGTAAGTTGGTTTCAAAAAGCTGACATGTTCTGATGCCTGTACACAGTATAGTGTATTTACAC